AGAAAACTATTTAAATCAAATTAAAGGGAAATATGGCTACAAAATATTTGAAATGCAATGGTCTATAATGAAGCAATGAAAAAATGATTGTAATTGAAGATATTAGTGGATTATCAAACTTATAACATCAAAATTTGTTGTTTATTTTCTACCCAACTAACTGCACTCGAGAAGACACTTGTAATATTTTACCTCACAGGTTTAAGAGATATCATCTCATCTCTCTTTTTCTCCTTTTTCTTCAGGTCCTGCTCGGTGTTCTTCAGTTTGTCTGGCACCAGGCGTAGCTTCGACTGCATGTCGTTAATAACTTCCTGCAGATCCGACTCTGAAGGAAAGGTTCGCTGGCACACAGGGCAGCAGGGTTCCCTCTCCTCTGTCAGTTGGCTGATGAACTGAGTGTAAACTGCTGTGGCTCCTGCTAACATGGCTTTACCAGGACAAATGGAAACAAACACAATTCTCATTTTCTGGAAAAGAAAACGTAAATGTATTTAACCTGAACTCTTGAGGGAAAAGGTATTTTACACTACTTTGCTATTTGTTGTTTTTTCCTTAACTTTAAAACAGAATTTTAAGGAGACTGCACAAATATATTCTCTTTCAATGCAATTACACTCTAACAGGGCAAAACTACAATCTGGAGTCTCACTTCTTCAGAACCTCTCCAGGTAATTTCAGCATTAAAGTGCACATAGAAACCCACACGAGTATAAAACTTATTTTAACAWCTGCCCAATAATAAAGAGCCATGTAAAAGTTTCAGAGACTCCTTCAAACAGCTGCTTCAGATCATTTACCTCTTTGTTTGGATACTTTCTCCAAATCTTCCTGCAGTTTGCTCAGGTCCTGATCCAGATCCTGACTGCCACAAACACTGAAGAACTTCTCTTCATCACTCACTAACTGCTGCTCCTTCTTACGCAGCTCAGCAACAATATGATTTTTGTTCTGCTCACTTGAAGCCAGATCCTTACTGAAATGAATGAAAACAGCAAAATAAACAGTGGTAAATGATTTAAAACATCTTAACTCGGTTGTTTGCTTCAATGTGATATTATTTACTAACTTGAGTTTTGCAAGTCGGTCCCTGGTGCTATTGATTTCCTTTGACTTAGAATAGATCCAATCCTCCAGCTCTCTCTTGTTGGGAAAATGACCCAGGAGGGACACGAGCTCATCGCCATGGCGAGACTTAATCTTACGCACCTGCTCGTCTTTTTCTGTCTGGAAGAACCAARGAGAAAAGATGAGAGAAGCAGCAACAGATGACAGAGGGCAAAACTTAGTCTGATTACTGAGGTTTAAAGAAAAGAGCAAGATGCCATAAGGAAAGAAGCACAAGTGAGAAAGTTTCACAGTGTAAAAGGATGCTACTTAAAGGAAACATCGTACTTTATCTCTTTTCAACATTTCCATCTGTGTGCGTGCAGTTGTGTGCATGTTGAGCAGCTGAATCTCTTGGTCGAGCTGCCTCTGTGCACGGTCAAGTTCAGACTTTTCTTTTTGAAGTTGCTCAWTCTCCGTCTTCAGCTCTTCCACGTTGGAGCGCTGAACGGCTTGCTGCAGCTCCCGCTCCTGAGGAATAACAAATACAAACCACTGTGGTTAGAACAAAAATAAAAAGACACAATATGCTTTTCAGTTTAAGATCAGACACATACTGTAAAAGAAAAGTCAAATATTTTCTTAAGCTGATTTTGTTCAACTCTGGCAACGTTTCCTTGCAAAYAGACTAAAAAGAGACATCTAATTAAGAACTAAGAGTTGTACACTTAAACACCCAAGTTGTGTAATAAAACCACGAAGCATGTTCTCACCACTTTAGCCAATTCATTTTCCAGCTCTTGTAGCCGACTAGTTGAACCCTCAAGCCTCTGCAGGTCTGCCCTGACGTTCCTCAGTTCTTGCTGTTTTTTTCCCTGCATGTCTCTCTTCAGCTCTACTGTTCTCTCCAGGCCGGCCTTCTTATCCCTCATTTCATCAATGGCCTGCTGCTTCTGCTGCTCCTTTTCTTGTAGATCAGCCTGAATGAACAAAGCAACAAAAAAACATTAAAATAATAATAAATGTGTAAAATGATTTAAAGGAGACATATCATGCTAAATGCACTTTTTTTTGCATTTATAAACAATTTTTTGTGCAATTATAGTGTCTAGGAGTGTAGAAAACTTTAATTTATTCTGTCCAGTTACTGCAAAGATATGTTTATATTATTTTATGGGTCAGATTTTTCAGTTTGTTCAAAATCTGCTGTTGCTTATTACGTTTCATTGCTTATTTCGTCACACTTTTTTCTTCGGAACTACCATTTATGGTAATGTATTTCCGGCCAACTGGATTTCATAATCCACCATTTTTTTCCTCGCTGTGTGATTTTGTAGTTCATAGCGTCATGCCGAAAATGCAAGTTCAGAAGTCAAAATGTTCGGTTCTAGGGTGTGTGAACTCACATGATTAATCTACATGGACTACCAGCGTCAGAGCTTCTTCAAAGTGCCTGGTTAAGTTTTATTTTTCAAGGAAATGGACCCACAACAGGG